GAGCAGGAGACACACCAATTGTTGTATTTTAATGGTTTACCTCTTGTCAGGGTTACCCCAAGTTTGGCCATAAGATGTGAAGATCAAGTCCTACAATGAACTAAAGGTAGAGACTTCAGGTTGAACTAGATGTGGCCTCAGGTCCCTCGCCCTCTGTAAGAGTGTCCTGGCAGTCAGGAGTCTATCCCATCCCCTATTTAAAGCTTGGAGAGATCTCGGCCTCCAGTTTTTGGAAACTAAGAGCAGGGCCCAGGCTGAGTCAGTCATTGAAGATTTTCAGCTTCCTCATTTTCCATAGCACAGATGATGTCTAGTCCTTCCTTGAGTCTGCCTGCCTCTAGGGGCTCCCTGAGGTTTGTAGGGTACTTGAAACTGTAAGTGTTAAATGCCTGCTCCTGTCATTTAGGCCAATCCCCTGGCTCTTTTTCTGAAAGAGGTATTTTGTGGTCCCATAGCTGGTTTTCCTATCTGCTCTAGAAGGGTAGATCCTATTTCAGAGAGGAAAGACTTTTGTCTGGGTTTATGCAAACATAGTTTGCATTACAAAACGTGTTGAAGGTACAAAGGAGAGAAAAGCAAAGGACTGCCCCTTTGCTGTGGGTTCCAGTCAAAAGAAGCATTAAGTTCTATAGAGATAGAATATACAGTTTAACAACATCATGTCTAATTCATTTATCTAGTTACAAATTGGAAACCTTGATTTCCAATTGTCTAAGAGCACTGTAACAAGGGTCTGGATACTAGAACAATTCTACAAACATAATTTAAAGAGTTTCTTATAACAATATAGTTTGATCACAATTTCTTTCGTAAAACACAACCTCAAACGTACACATTTCTTTATATACTAAAGCCTTCTACATGTTCCTTGTTTGATCTGTCCTGTTCCTCAAAACCAGTTTCACTTTCACAGGATACCTTTAACTTTTACCACTAATATCTCCATCCATAATCCTTTTTACTTAAAATATATACTTACATTACTTCCTTATATTCATATCTCACAGGTTTTAAGCTCATTATTTTCTGAACTTAATATAGCTGATCTACCAGGAAATTTGGAAAGCAGTTGCTAATAATTATCTCATTTACCATGACTAAGTTATACTCTGCATTACTCTTTCAAAAGCATTACATCAGTCCTATATATATACAGAAGGTTTACAAAAGCTCACAATTATAACATATAACTACTTGGAAAAGTTCACTTTACATTAGAAGCTTTATATTTAGAATTCCAATTTCTAGGGAAATAGATATAAAGGAATTAAAACACTCACAGTAAATGGGATAGTTATTTTTCATTTGGGCATCACCCGCAGTTGCTGGAACAGCTCAGGACCTTGCGCCTCACGTATCATGCACTTCCCCATGCTCAGAAATCACTAAAGCCAAAGGGGCTGCTTGCAGCAGCTTGAATTTTAAAATCAAAATCACCTCCCTTTTTTTTTTCAGTAAAAAGAAATATGATCTGGAGCCTTAGCAGGAAAGTCCTATATCTCTAACTTCTATACAGTTGATATATATATATATATATATATACATGTTATATATATATATATTTTGATATATTAAGGTGAACAGTGTAGTCTTCTGCCCCCATGCCTGGGTGTTCCTTCCCGGAGACCCTTGGAGGGGAGCGGGTTGAGCTTTCCTCCCCGCCCCGACCAGGGCTCAGGCAGCCGAAGACCTCCAGGACCAGCCACCACCATGCTGAGACCACTCTCCGCACACATGAAGGTACTGGCAGAGGGACAAAGCCACGCGGGTTCCGGGGCCGAGACCTCCAAGCCTACTCGAATTGGAGTCGAGCATCTTCCACCCAGATCCTCCAAATTCCAGTAGTCGGGGCTCACACCCACCACCTGGCCCCCTGGCGCCGTGTAATCCCATCAGCGGCCAAGACTCAGAGACTATAAAATCCAGATTCCGGAACCGCGCGGCCACATTCGCGGCCGAGCGACATCTTATCAGAACTTTTTTTTTTATGACATATTATTGTCTCATTCCTACTTTGGATAAACTTGCATCCTGCCCACAGGGCAGAGTCTGGCAAACTCCCCGTGGCATTCCAAATATGCCAAATACCAGTAACAATGATGGTTCTCATTCTCCTAAAGAGCCTTGAATATAATCTCAGGGCTAGGATGAAAGAGACGTTACTGGGGCCTGCTCGAGGCAATCGACGAATAACAGGATGATGAAATGAAAAAAATGAAAATGAATTTCAGGAGCGTTTTCTCTATTTCTTTGAAAAATGTCATGGGTATCCATATAGGGACCACACTGAATTTGTATAGTGCTTTGGGCAGTATTGCCATGTTGATAATGTTAATCATCCCTACCCATGAGCAGGGGATGAGTCTCCATTTCTTAGTGTCTTCTTTTATTTCTTGAAGTAGTGTTTTGTAATTTTCCTTGTATAGGTCCTTCACCTCTTTCGTTAAGCTGATCCCAAGGTGCTTGATTTTCTGAGGTACTAATGTGAACGGGATTGTTCTTTTAAAGTTCATTTCTTCTCTTTCGTTATTTGTATGTAGAAAGCCATGAACTTTTGGGTGTTGATTTTGTAGCCTGCCACTTAACTAAACTCACCTATTGTTTCTAGGAGTTTTTCTGTAAAGTCTTTGGGATTTAAAAGTATCAGACATAAATCTATAAGTACATAGAGGAAAATGTAGGCAGAACTCTCCATGACACTGATGTCAAAAACATCTTTAATGATGAAACAGCACTGACCATGCAAGTGGAAGCAAACATAAATAAATGGGACTACATCAAACTAAGAAGCTTCTGCACTTCAAAAGATACAGTGACCAAAATAAAGAAAGAGCCCACAGAATGGGAAAGAATATTTACCCAATACCCATGTGATAAGGGATTAATATCCAGAATATACAAGACACTAGTAGAATTGTACAAGAAAAAAAAAACTCCAACCCCATCAAAAAATGGGCAAAAGAAATGAACAGAAGTTTCCTCAAAAAAGAAATACAAATGGCCAAAAGGCACATGAAAAAAATGCTCCACATCGCTAGACTTCAGGGAGATGCAAATCAAAACAACAATGCGATATCATCTCACACCACAGAGACTGGCACACATTCAAAAGAACAAAAGCAACCAGTGCTGGCATGGATGTGGGGAATAAGGGACACTCTTTCACTGTTTGTCGGAATGCCGACTGGTCCAGTCTTTCTGTAAAACAATATGGACTGTCCTTCAAAAACTAGAAATTGAGCTTCCATATGACCCCACAATACCACTTATGGGAATATATCCTGAGGGTGCAAAAATAAAAACACAGTAGAAGTGACATCTGTACCTATATGTTCATTGCAGCATTGTTCACAATGGCCAAGAGCTCTAGAACAGATGACTGGTTAAAGAAATTTTGGTACAACTTTGGGATGGGAGATGTGTGCAGAAAGTGAATAAAGGACCAAACGTGATAACCTCTCTGTGTCTGTATTGCAAACCATAATGCCCAAAAGTAGAGAGAGATTTGGGGGAATCATGTCTGTCTTAGAGGCAGGGAGAGGGTGGAAAAGGGGTTATACCAGGGATATTGGTGGTGGGAAATGTGCACTGGTGGAGGAATGGGTATTTTATCATTGTGTGATTGTAACCTAAACATGAAAGCTTGTACCTATGTCACAGTGATTCAATAAAATTTAAAAATAAAAAAAGAAAGTAAATTTGCCTTTGACACAAAGTGTATGTTACTAATGCACTGACTGTAAGGTTGTTTATTTAAAATCAGATTTAATTAAATAATTATTGCAAGCCAGAATTGTTTTGATTTATTAATTAGTTATGTATATGTATTACCTTTTCCTAGAATACAGGCAAGCACCATGGAGTGACTAAAAATAAATGAAAGGAAATTTTTCCAAAAGACAACCAAACCTGAGCATACCTATCTCATTAGATCTTAAGTTTCTATTAATACTTTACCTTCTGAACATATTTCCTTGTTATTCCTGTAAAATTGCTGGCTGCTTTGTGTTGTATAGTATTTCCCCTGTTTTGTAAGGAAACACTTAATTTACTTTAAATTCATATATGTAAGCATGACCTTTTTACCTCTAAGCAAATGTAACTCCTGTGTCCTTACCTATCTTTGAATTTATTTCAATTATATTTATTTATTTATTTATTGAACTTGAAATTCTGACATAACTATCACTATCACCCCTTTGTTGATTGATTTGCTTGAGCAGGCACCAGTAATGTCTCCATTCATCCCTGTCACGTGGTATTGTAGCCCGATGACATATTGGGGCTGTTTTCAGGGTCAGGACATCATTGTTACTATTTTTGTCATGTCGAGCACACCATGGGTAGCTTGCCAGGCTCTGCTGTGTGGGCAGTATGCTCTCGGTAGCTTGCAGGGCTCTCCAAGAGGGATGGAGGCTTTTGGGGTAGCGTCTAATCACCTTTACAGGTGTCAGTCATATATGCGGGCAAGATACTCTCGGTAGCCTGCCGGGTTCTCTGAGAGCGAGAACTAGACAATAAGAGGTTGCAAGGCTGCATTTGCAGACACACGCTTCCAGGAGGGATTTCCCTTCATACTAGAGGGATTTCCCTTCATACTGGAGGGATTTCCGCCCAAAGCTGCTGGGTTCTGAGATTGGTTTGTGTGCCTCTGGGATCATGGTCATTCCAGAGCCCCACTGTGCTACCAAGAGGTAAAAGGCAGAAGGGACAAACACCCTTTCCCACCCGGGGGTGGGGAGTGTGCATGGTGAATGGTGCCGAAGCTAAATGCATAGTCCAGACACATTTCTGCCAAAAGCTTCTGGGTTTCCAGATTGGTCTGAGAGCATGAACATTCCTGAGCCAGAGAGTCGCTCATGGAGGGCAACTTGTGGTCTCGGCAGGGCTGGAAGCTGCAATTTTATTTTTAAATAAGCAAGAATTGAAAGCTTTGTAGAACTTTTCCAATTTATTAAAAAAGAATGTACTTTAATTCCAGAATACATGTTGTTGTAAGTACTAAAATACTAGTGTTTTCAAAAATAAATAAATTATATTTTATCAGTTGGAGATTATGGAGTTGGTATCATTATAATTGTAATCTCTTAAATTATTATTAAATTAGAGATATTGAATGTATGTACACATTCTACTAGGTATTCATTTAACTGCTTAAAAGGTAAAAAAGAAAATAGACAAAAGTATTGAAAAATAAGAGCACTGCATTTGTGGTACATAAACTTTTATATACACTTCATTGCCTGTATATTAACTAATCAATCAGGCGAATTGTATAGCACTATAGCACTGTCCTCTTGTTGTTTACTGATTTGCTTGAGCGAGCCCAGTAACATCTCCATTGTGAGACTTGTTGTTAGAGTATGTTTGGCATATCGAATGCGTCACGGGTAGCTTGCCAGGATTTGCCATGCGGGCGATACTCTCAATAGCTTGCTGGGATCTCCAAGAGAGATAGAGGAATCAAACGCAGGTCGGCCGGGTTGGCTGCGTGCAAGGCAAACACCCTACCCACTGTGCTATTGCTCCTGCCGAATTGTATAATAACAAAAAAAGAAAGTGTTCTTTGTATTCAGCCATTTACTGAACTACAAAAGTGTGGGTGGATTTCTTGACTATGTATATTTTCTAAAGCATAAAATTTATTTTGACACTGTCAGTATTCTCTTCTCCAAAGTTTTTCTTTGAATGCTTCACTCAGTTGTTTAAATGCCAGTACAACATTGTCATCTTCATCATCGCATAATTCACACAGTGCAAACCTACAAAAGAATAAGTGCTTATATTAATGTCATTCTTATTCATTCTTAATGATCTTTAGCTGGTTACATAATCTTCAAATGCAGGAAATATTTACTATACCTGATGGACTGAAGAACAAGTGTGAAGTCTCTGATTAAATTAAAAGCATCTCCTATATTTAACCTATTTTTTAAAAAAGAAAAAATAACATTAGATACAAGAAAAAAAGGTAGCATTTTAAATAATGAATTTGTTTTGGTGTACTCCCAATATGCAGAAAGGCCATAGAAAATTATCACAGAATTCCTGATCTTTCCAGACATTAAATAAAGCAGATATAGGAAAACTGCGGGGAAGTGTTCATGCTCTTTGAAACATCTAATATTTTCCAATTGTCAGTTTCACCCTTAACTGACAGCAAAGTGAACCAGCAAAGTGGCTCATCATTTGACTTAGTAGAAAGTTTTCACCTGAGTGCCCGGATGTAGGGAGCAGGTAATCCCCATCACCCTGGAATCCAACCAGCACCACATACATCCTCTGGCCTCACTTTGAACCATCCTTGAACCATCCAACCAGGTTGTCCAAGTATTGCTGGAAGTGGCCCCAAACTCTGCTTACTGCTTGGGAGACACTCTCCACCCTCACTCTAAAAACAACCCATTCCATGCTTCTACATAGCAGCAAATTATTTTTATTGAAGTGCAACATTTCCCAGTACTAAAGTGTTATGAATAATGTTGCTGAAAATGGCAGAGTAGACAGTTTAGGACCCGACTCTTCCATAAAGGTATTAATCCAAGTCAAGCAAAATCTACCCAAAACTGAGTTGGTCAAACTCTGGAAAATGGACAGACTAAATGCTGGATCAACTGAGATTTTAGAAAGGGTGGGAAAGCTTTAAGACATTTAAATTTGCCCCTTTCCCACTAGAGCAGTTTAGTAGCAGTTTTGAAAACAGTGTGTGACCCTGGTTTTTGGCTTTGAGGGAGCAGTCTTCCTAACAGTGTACATATTTGTCTATTTCTACAGGTCTGGGAACTGCCTAAAGGATTGAGGTGAGACAGCTGTCTTTGTTTTAATTAACTAGCACTTACTAAAGGAAAAAAAGAATGGATTTTGCTAAAGACTGTAAGAGAAACACAGGGCACTCAGCAGTCTTGGGCCAAAGAGCACACTTGAAGCAGTGCAGCAGATGACTGAAATCTGTGAGGAAGATCTAGGAGAATCTGCCTGTGCATATTAGAGGATCAAGAAAGCCATCCAATGCCCAGGGCCAGACATGTGCTCAGTAAAGATCTGAAAAGACCCTAAGCCTCAAAGCTAAGAGACTTTTAGGATTAGTCGGAAGTAATGATAAAGCAAAGTTGTTAGTTACCTAGATGCTAAAAGAATTCCATAAACCAATCTGCAATCTTCTCCCTCTCTGTCTCTCTCCCCCTGGTCTTTGAAGTATCTCTTCAAATATGAGCTAAATCCTTAACTTGGATGAAAGAAATACAGTCTTTGCCACTGTCTGTTTTAGCACTTCTGGGTCTAGTGCTAGTGGCCTCCAACACAGCTGGATCCAAGATGCAGTGCCCCCTCCATATCTACGCACCCAATGATCAGACCTGCAGCCATATCGGCCAGGTATTTTAGGCAGTTGCTCCAAAGCTCCCAAGCAGAGCTAGGGAGGTGTCAGTGAAAAGGGACCAAGGACTGGAAAAGACATTCTTCCTAGGTGTATGTGTGTGTGTGTGGATGGGGGAGTGTGTTGGGGGGATAGATAGGGAGATAGATTGATAGATAGGGAGATATCTATCTGTATATAGCACACACATACACACATATATCTTTCTTAAACAATAAAAGGTTCTAAATCACTAGTATTTTGGAGAAATGTAAAATCAAAATCACGTGAGATATAGATGGCTTTGACACCAATTAGACTGAGGATAACATTAACGATAATAAAATGAAAAATAAAAATAGTGAGAAAAGTTTGATCTTGGTACATTGCTGATGGTATATAAATAGCTCAAAAGCTTTGGAAAATATTTTAGTAATTTCTCAAGAAATTAGAAAAAAATTTAATATTTTAACTTTTTGGATATTTGGCTTGAGCCAGTAATTGTACTCATAGGTCTTAAGTTTTTGCCATAAAAATAGAAAATGGTAACTCTAATGCACTGGCCTGTATATTCATAGTAGAACTATTCACAGTAGCTAAAATTTGAAGAAATTCACATATAGTAGTATATTATTCAGCTATAATCATGAATTAAGTTTTGATAGATATTTCTGCATGTGTAAGCCTTGAAGTTTTATATAAAATGAATTCATACATAAAAGATTAAATTAGCATTATTGTCTGATTCTATTCATGTAAGTGTCCAGATTAAGTAAATTTATAGAAAAAGGGAAAAGATTGGTACTTGCCACATGGGAGAATAAAGGAATATGACTTCTATTCAATAGGTATAAACATTCCCCTTAAGTAAATGAATCTGTTCAGAGACTAGGTGGCAGTGGTGATTGCAAAACATTATGAATGTACCAAATGTCACTGAATTTTTCACTTAAAAATGTTTCATTTTATCTTATGTGAACTTCAACTCAAAAATTAAAAATATTTTAAAAATAATTCCCACTAACTCCATTCTAATAACTTGTTAAATCTTTGCATCTTAAGCTTATTCTCATAAATTATGTCACAGCAGAGTAAACTATCATCAGAAAAATGTCCATATGAACATTAAAATATAAAAGGTCATACCAATTATCTGTTGTCAGTGCTGACAGAGATTCTTTCACGTAGAAGTTCAAAACATAAGCCTTTAATGGAAACTTCCTTCCAGTCTTATCACATTTCTCCAAATGAAAGAATGGAGCATTACTAATATTCACATTAATTGTTCGTAACATGGCCTGCAGATATGCAGAAATTTTTTGATTGTTAGTATTTTCTTGAGATATCTTATTATATTAGAGAATTTTGTGTTATATTAAAATTTGCTCGAGGCCCTCCCGTTGATCATTGATTTGCTCGAGCGGGCCCAGTAACGTCTCCATTGGAGACTTTGTTGTTACTGTGTCTGGCATATCGAATACTCTCGGTAGCTTGCCGGGCTCTCCGAGAGGGGCGGAGGAATTGAACTTGGGTCGGCCATGTTGGCTGCGTATAAGGCGAACGCCCTACCCGCTGTGCTATTGCTCCAATCTGGAGCTCCAATCTGGAGCGATAGCACAGCGGGTAGGGCGTTCGCCTTACAAGCGGCCAACATGGCCGACCCGAGTTCGATTCCTCCGCCCCTCTCAGAGAGCCGGGCAAGCTACCGAGAGTATTCGATATGCCAGACACAGTAACAACAAAGTCTCCAATGGAGACGTTACTGGGCCCGCTCAAGCAAATCGACGATCAACGGGAGGGTCTTTACCTTTTACCTTTATTAAAATTTATCCAACTAAAGTAATAACAATATTAAAGTACTGTCAAATATCCAAACAATGTGTTACTGTTCTTAAAACAAGTGATACAACTAAATAAAATAAATAAATGACTGATAGCTGATAATGATCACTCTGAACAAGAACTGAGTGCTGAAAGTAAGTAATGGGACAAATATGATAACCTTTCAGTACTTATATTGCAAACCATAATGCCCAAAGGGAAAAAGAGAGAAAGAGAGCAAGAGAAAGCTAGAAGAAAAGTCTCTTGCCAAAGAGGCAGGCAGTTCAGGGGGAGGGAAGGAGATTGGGAAACTGAGGACATTGCTGGTGGGAAATTTCACACTGGTGAAAGGAAAGGTATTGGAACAGTGTATGGCTGAAACCCAATAGTAAACAACGTTGTAACTCTGTATCTCATGATGAGTCAATAAAAATTTTTTTAAATAAATAAGAAAAGCAAAAGAATAATACTGTAAGTTATAGTATTATAATTTAAATTCTACTCAGGATAAGGTTTGGAGTATACAGTGTTCCAACACCACACTGCCCACCACAGTATTACTCTCTCTCCAGCTCCAGCATAAAGGTAAGGTAAAGGTAAAGGCCCTCCCGTTGATCATCGATTTGCTCGAGCAGGCCCAGTAACGTCTCCAGCTCCAGCATAGTCATTTTTATTACAGAACTGTACCACAAATATTTTTAAAATTCAAATTTCCTGAAAAAAAAGTGTTTTGAAGGGCTGGGGAGATAAGGTGCTTGCTTTGCACTATGCCAGTTCTGGTTCAATCTATTGGGTGGACAGCTGCCACTCCCCTCCAAAAAAAATTGTTTCCTTTGGGTAAGGAAACACATACCTTTTAGAGGTCTCAGAGAGTGCCAGGAATTGAACTTGGACTCTCACATGCATTTCTAAATACATGCAGTCCAGTTCTGTGAGTTTTCTCCCTGACTCCTAGAAAAGTATACTTGTTCCTATTATTTATAAGGTAATGTCAGGAATTAAACTTTTGGTCTCTTACATGCAAAGCAAGAACTCCTCTTCTGAGTCACATCACCAAGCTGTAAATGGCTTCATAAGTTCACAAACTTACATTGCTTTGTTTTACACATTTGGCAATTCCTCATGCTCTATACTATTTTCATTCTCATTATTTTATTAAGCTGCCTTTTAGAATATAATTATCTGATTTGGGCAACAATAAAAGTTCAATCATTTGAAGTTATTTCCTGTCAACATGCTATTGATAAGCTCTGAGGAGGTGCATTATACTCTATTTTGCAGTAGTAAATAGAGGAAACTATTGGTCTGTTTTTAGAAAATGAAGCATTTGATGTATATTTACTGAGTTTCTTTTTATTTATGAAAGGAATGTTGCATTACAAAATTATGGATGTTTTAAATATGCATCATTATTAACAATGTCTGTATATACTACATTGAGCTCATCACTAAAAGTGCAATTCATATAATTGAACCTACCACAGACCATTTTTAGGATTAAGAGACACAAAAATGAAGATAAATGAACACAAACTGCCCTCAAATTGCTTGTAAGAAGGCTTTTAAAAAATATTACTTCACATTCTGAGATCTAGCACAGTGGTAGGCCGTTTGCCTTGCATGCAGCCAACATGGCCGACCCGAGTTCGATTCCTCTGCCCCTCTCGGAGAGCCCGGCAAGCTACCGAGAGTATCTCGCCTGCATGGCAGAGCCTGGCAAGCTCCCCGTGACGTATTTGATATGCCAAACACAGTAACAACAAAGTCTCCAATGGAGACGTTACTGGGCCCACTCGAACAAATCGATGATCAACGGGAGGACCTTTACTTACTTATTCTGAGATCAAGTTCTGAGACAATTCTTAAGATTCTTCAATTTTAGCAGCTCGCACTGAATTTTTGTTCATACTTTGAGTAACTTGGGCTTATGATTCTATTGCTGTACCAAAATTTGCTTAGGCAGGGACAATGAATCATTGAGATAAAAACAAGATTTCTTAATGCAGACAGATCATAACTAAGCAGTCAGCCTGAAGTTGCAACCAGGAGCAGGGCCAACAAGACTTCTTTGTATCGGAAAATTTCTGGCAGCAGCACCAAAATATGGAACAAAGATTAAAGGGACAGAAGAATGGAGTTTCCTGATTGGTTGCACTGAAATAATAAATCCAGAAAGGAGTGTGCATCATGGGACATATAGCGAGTTCTTGTTGCTAGAAATCTTTATGGTTAATACAATAAGTTTTAAGTTCCATATAGACATCTACAAATTGTTTCTGTGGCCCCATTCTATTTTTGCTCAGGCAGCTAGGTTGATCTGGTTCTTCTGTTCAGGTCATAATGTAAAGATTCGTTGACTTATTCTTCTTTGCTCAGCTCCTAGAATTGGTCACTTGAAGGTTCTGCCTCTAGTTTCCTGCTTATGCTCCCAATTCTCCCAGTACATTTACAGGGTGGTAATTTTAGGTTAACAAAGAGAGAATTTTGCTAGTGAACGTGTACATGGAAAAGAAAACAGCAATTTAAACTTTACATATCACAATATGGTCTATATAATGATTCCCACATGGTGATTAATTAAAAAAAATCAATGTTCTTTTCCTTATATAATTCAATTTTTTTATTTAAGAACTACTCAAATATTAAAAGCTCTGTTCTGATTCAGTGAAAAGTACTAATATTATGGAATAAAAGTGAAATGGTTTGCTTTACAGACACTTAGCAATTATAATAATGAAGAATGATTGATCTGAAAAATTAGGATTAAAATAAGGTTCACACCAAAATTCACATACATCACGTATCACGTGAATATCATATAAATCTTGATCCGTTATATTGGACAGGCAAGCAAACGGAGAAATAGCAGTTCTACTTTCAGTTCCAGGCATCAAATGAGAAACCAGTTTTGAGTCTTCACATTCTTTACCTGAAAAATCTATTACAAAATGAATTGAAAAAACAATGAAACGAATGGATGAAAACTTTTAATAAACCCAAAACATTTGCATACAATTATTACTAGATATACTACAAGGTTTTAGTTTTGGTTTTAAGAAAGGGAAGTATTGAAATTAAAATATTTAAGAATTGCTAGATCATCACTAAGAAAATTTTTTTTCTAAAAGAAACTTATTGTGAGATGTGCTGGTGGTTCTGTTATTTATGTATCTGGGTCTCCCTCTCCTTTTCTTTTCTTCAACTGTATCTGTTTCGGTTTCTCTACAATTTTATTTTTATCTCTGTCCATTGCTTTCTCTGTCTTCTGTATCTGTGCCTCATTTTGTTTTTTCTTTCTCTCTACTTCCAGTTCCTTCATTGTTGGCTAGACTCAGTTGTATGTACTTTGATGCACTCTCTCCCTTTCCCATCCATCCCCTCTCTCTGTCTCTCTGTCTCTGTCTGTCTATGTGTCTGTCTGTCTCTCTTTCTCTCTCTTTCTCTTTCTCTTTCTTGTTCCCCCCTTTACTCCTCACTCATTTGCCAGTCACACTTCTCTTTTGGAGAATTTGCCTATCAGTCTCTCTATCTGATGTTCTATTCTTCGTTCTCTGATTCAGTATTTTCTCCATTAGATCAATGTTTCTCAACTTTTTACCAACTGTGGCTTTCTTCCAAGTTTTTGTTTTCTTATTATGCACCCCTATTATACTGTTTATTCCCATAATCTCCTGCTGTGGTCGACCAATCACATAATTTTCACATGTGGCTCTCTTGAAATATCCTGTATGTCTAAGGGGTAGGTGGTAGAGAAACACTGACTTACAGAACAGAATACAAGAGAAGGAACTGCCACTTCATTCGGAAGTCAGGAAAACTTTTACACTTTGCTTTTAGAAAAACATTTGAATGAACATGAAAACATCTAATTCATCTCTCTTCATATAGTTTCCATGTTCAGTACATCCAAAGTCTCAGAGACAAATACAAAAGCTTACTCACGGTCTTACCCTTAAACCCTTGGACTAAATGCATGATTGAATTTATTAAGTAACCCCCAACACAATTATAACCAACTGAAACTAATAGTTTATGGAGTATCACTGCATAATGTTTTAATGTGTTAGATGTCACTGGAGACTATACTTTTAAAAATCATCATATAGGCTATATACATTTTATCCAAGTTGTTAAAAACTCAGAAGTGTTACCTATTATTTCTTACTCCTTTAGTTTATGTAACTCTTATTAAAAGTTTTACTTCCTCTTATCCTTCATAAGGCTTGTATATTCCAAAATAATACTCTGCCTAAATATAGGAATAAATCAAAGAATTCTTTCTTCCTCCAATTTTTAACTCCTTGATTCTTAAAGAAATAAAGACAAAATTTTACCAGCTCGCTTTCTCTTAACTCTTCCTCTCTCCATCTTTTCATATTGGGCATAGGGTATATGCTCTACTTCCAATATCTCCACTTTATATGACATCAGTAATTAAGTTTTCCTTATATTTTATATTTTCTTTTTAACTTGTTTCCTTTTCGTCAGAGATATAAGCAAAACTCTAACTTCTTGTTGCCATCTCCCATGATTCTTATGAACTTAAAATATATTTGTGACCTTTTTGTGCCCAAATACTGTTTTTTTTTAAATTTTCAAATTCATTCAAATTTGAAATTTTAAACTCTTCAGCGTTCCAATAGACACATATGCCAAAAGAAATTATGTCATCATTAAGGAAGAAAACAGCCTAAAATAAATTTAGATCGCTTAGTTCAAAATAACACTAGAAAATATGGAAATATCTTAGCACTTAGCTTCAAATCAAATCCATGATAGCTTAACTATTCCAAATAACTGTAGCACTGTAGCACAGTCTTCCCATTGTTCATCGATTTTCTTGAGTAGGCACCAGTAACATCTCACAACAAATTGTGAAACTTCTCGTTACTGTTTTTGGCACACTGAATACTTCATGAGGAGCTTGCCAGGCTTTGCTGTGCAGGTGAGATACACTCGGTAGCTTGCCGGGCTCTCTGAGAGGGGCAGAGGAATTGAAACCTGGTCGGCTGCGTGCAAGGCAAATGCCTTACCTGCTGTGCTATGGCTCCAGCCCAAATAACTATTCAGCATAAATTTTGAATTTTTACATCAATGAATAATTTTCAATTAAACATTGTTAGTTTTCTGGATATTATTTTTAGAATAGTTTTATGATTTATTTTTAATTTTAAAATATTCACAGTTTTAAGCTTTATATTCTGTTCATGAATTCATGAATATTCACAAACTTACCAATTTCTGAGAGAGGTAATTGACATTCTTTCCTCATGTCAGCCAATTTTGAAATTGTTAGGAGGAAGGAAACAAAATTATTTTTAATTCTGTTATTATAATCCTCTATCACTGCAGCAAAATCTTCTGGAAGATCATCTAGTATTACCTAGGAACAATAAAATAGATTAATGCTATAATATAAAACAAAAACAGATTATCAAATTCTGAGTGACACAAGGTTGAATGTTTTAAATGCCTTAATGGAAGTATATTTCTAAGTATAAATTCTGCTGTTCACATTAAATTAAAAATACAAATGAGGGGGCTGGAGCAATAGCACAGTAGGTAAGGTGTTTGCCTTGCACGTGGCCAACCTGGGGTCGATTCCCAGCATCCCATATGGTCCCTTGAGCACCTCCAGGAGTAATTCCTGAGTGCGTGAGCCAGGAGTAACCCCTGTGCATTGCCAGGTGTGACCAAATAAATAAATAAATGAATAAAAATACAAACAAAATTAATCTTACCTCCATGGGTAGAGGTTGCAAAGATTTTGTTACAGTATTTCCTTTCAGTCTTTTATGTGATAACTCATGCTATTGTATTAGATTGTAATAAACATTGTATCTGCATTTTCCTTGTTATAAAACACTATGTGAATGGTAGAGAGCTAGCACAATAGAAGGGCAACATGGGTATGATCCATGGCACAGCATATGGTACATGAAGCATTGCTAAGAGTTTTCATTGAGCATGGAGCTAGGAGTAAGCCCCGAACACAGATAGGTTTGTCCCCAAGTTCATAAGTAAATGAATCAATCAATCAGTAAGTAAACAAAGTACTATCTGAAAATATGAGTAATAGTTATATTACTGCCTCATATAGGTAGACTAAAATTCCTTTAATTATTCCCCTTTTTATTGGATTTATAGGAACTATCCAATGTTCAATTCTAAGTGACTTTTGAAATGTCTAGGTTAAAGTGCATCTCCCAAAAACAAGTTAAAATTCAAAGCTCTAGTACCTCAAAATGCATTTTTCGCTGTTTTTAATAAGTTAACATTTTACATCATTTCATCAGCAGTTTGAATTCCAATAAGAAAAACAACACAATATTTTAAACTTGTATTTATATTCCTATCAACAAAACTTGGTTTTATTCCCTGCAAATTAATGAGTAAGCTACTTTTCTTGTTAACTTTCAATTTTTACTGTTGATAAGATTGTCTTTCATTTTATTTTCTTTTTAACTTCAATATAAGGGAGCTATGTATTTTATTAGATCTATTTACATTTGAGGATTTACTAGATGGAGAACCCAGCAAGCTACTAAGAGTATTCACCCACAAGGCAGAGCCTGGCAAGCTCTTTCTGGCATATCCGATATGCCAAAAATAGTAACAACAAGCCTCACAATGGAGGCATTACCGACGCCTGCTCAAGCAAATCGATGAACAACGGACTATAGTGCTACAGTGCTACTAAATGGCTATTAACTACTCTCATTTTTGTTATTTTTTAGTATTTTAGTAGCCACTCATTTCATTTATAAATAACTTAAATAACTTTTTTTCTTTTTGGGCAACACACAGTTGTTCTCGGGGCTTACTTCTGATTCTGCCCTCAGGAATCATTCCTAGTGGGATTGGGGGGGTACCCAGCTCAGCCACATGCAAGGCAACAGCCCTACCAGCTTTACTACTGCTTCACCCCCTAAATAATAATAACTTTTAAATTAGGAGCTAAATTTACCTAAAATTTTCCATATGCCAAGCATGATTCTAAGTCCTTTGCATATTTTACCAACATCGAAGGCTTTGTTTTATTAAAAAAAGTTTTACTAAACACTCCATGATTTATAAAGTTGTTCATAATAGAGTTGTTCAGGCATTAAATATTGCAACACAAATCCTACCACCAATGTCCCTTTCCCTCCATTGATGTCCCTGATTCTCTCCCACCTTTCAGCCTGCCTCTTTGACAGGTATATTTCAAATTTATTTCATATTGCTTCTCCAATAAAATTTAAAGGAATAAAAAAATTAAAGCTGGTACCAACTTAAAAATAAGCTTATTATCAATAATAAATAAGTTTATTACCATCTATCTATCAGTGTAAAATGATAAGTAGTCAAGGAATATTACTTTAAAATATTCTGTCCTCTACTCACTGATGATTACCTTTATAAGAGTCACTTTTTTTGTTTCATATCATTTGACTTGCTGAGAATTTCCAGAACAGTATTTTTAAATGGTCCTTAGTTCGAGCTTGAACATTTGTGTATTGTTGTTTCAAAGATAAGTGTCATCATGGAAATTCTTGTGCCATTAAATTTATATTTTATGATCGCACATGTAAGTGAGGTTGTCAATGGGCATTAATCTTTCTTTGACTAATTTTACATAGTACCCATGAGTGCATTATTATCTTTTCCATTTATTCATGGATGATTATCTTGTCTCCTCCCCACCCCTGCCACCATATATGTAGCAAATTTTGCTATAATTTCATAGAAATGCATTTTTGAGGGTGAGGTATTACGAAAGGTATAGAACTCAGTGGTCACATCTGGTTCTGTGTTCAGGAGGTCATTGCTGATGTTGCTCAGGGGACTATAAGTGATGCTTAAGATTGAACTGGGTATACTGCATGCAATGTAAGTGCCTTAACTCCTGTGTTATTTTTACAATTCTAAATAGTATTTGAATTGAGATAATATTAAGTGTAATTTACAAATATTTTAGCTTAAAACAATATCTTTGCAGGCTATCGAATGTAGCCTGCCCACAGGGCAGAGTCTGGCAAACTCCCCGTGGCGTACCAAATATGCCAAATAATGAAGGGTCTCATTCTCCTAAATAGCCTTGAATATAATCTCAGGGCTAGGATGAAAGAGACGTTACTGGGGCCTGCTCGAGGCAATCGATGAATAACAGGATGATGAAATGAAATGAAAATGAAATGAAAACAATATCTATTAGGAATATTTTAATTAACATTTTAAAACAAGATTTCAATATTTTTTCTCCTCTAAGAAGTCATCTTATTTATCAAGAATTGACTAACGCCTGACAAAGAAGTACTCTAATGATCAATAGTAAAACTTTCACTAATGGGAAAATATTATTGAATTACAACTACTAGGAATAGTTTCCTTACCAGTGAATCAGGAGTCTTCTTTTTACATTCATTCACACTCAGAGGGAAATATTTTCTTCCAAAAAGATGTGCAAGCACAACCACTAGGGCCTGCATCACATCTTCAGAAAAAGTTTTACAACCTATTTAAAATAAAGAATTAAATTTTTAAAACTTCTGAGATAGAATTAACTATTTTGAATATATTGTCTTTTCTTAATAGCTAAGGGAAATTTTAGGGTACGACATTTTAAAAAGTCACTTGCTTTGTGTTTGTTAAATATTCAATAAATGAAAATATTAATTTATAATAATACAAAATAAGCACAAAGTGCGGTATCCCTGTAACCAATTGTAGCTTGAAGAATTTTTTCAAAAAGGCTTCTATCCGTTAGCTATTCTCATTACTGTCTACAAGTCATAACGTCCCTCTTCCATTCCAATTAGTTTTACTCCCTTATTAAAATTAGGGTAAGGAAAGAAGACTTTATTCTAATTTCCAAATTTATATAATTTTGTTGGGGGGAGAGTATTTTCATATTTATTTTAATCCAAAGCAACAGCAATCAGCTTTTAATTAATATTTATCAAAATAATCAAAACATGCAAAAGTGCAAATATTTGCAACTTAATAGATACCATCCATAACTCTGGAATCTTTTGCTTTAAAATCTCAAGCATGATAGGCTGGAGTGGTAGCACAGCAAGTAGGGTGTTTGCCTTGCACACGGCTGATGCGGGTTCGATTCCTAGCATCCCACAAGGTCCCCTACGAACCACCAGGAGTAATTCCTGAGTGCATGAGCCAGGAGTAACCCCCATGCATCGCTTGGTCTGACCCAAAAAGCAAAAGAATAAAAAAAATAAAATCTCAAGCATGACAGTTTAAAAATTTCTGAGTATCTATAATACTGATATCTGTATGTCTTCTTGAGGAAGTTTCTGTTTATCTCTTCTTTCCATTTTTTGAAGTTTGTTGATGCTGTTAAGTTTTTTTTAAATTTTCTTTTGTTCAGGTTTTGGTTCATGTCTTTGGGTTCATTCATTCCAGGAGTAATGCTCAAGGATTACTCCTCACTCTATGCTCAGGGAGTCATGTGAGTTATAGAGATTGAACTCAGGTCTGCCATGTGCAAGCAATCTAACTGCACTATTATCTCTCTGGGCCCAATATTGTTAATGTTTAACTGTGCTTTGTATAGCTTTGCTATTAATTCCTTATAAAATGGATGGTGGGTAAATATTATCTCCCATAAATTGTGGTTGGCTTTTTATTCTGCTAAACCTTTATTTTGTTAGATAAAAATATCTGAATTTAATATAATCTCATTGTTTATTTTTGATTCCTCTTGCTTGGCAAATGGCATTGAATTATTGAAGAAGACTCTAGATTCACATTTATGGAGGATTGTGCATATTTTTCCTCAAGTGTATTTTATGGGTTTATGTCTTATATTGGGGTCTTTAATTCACTTTTAGTTGACTTTTGAGCATAATTCAGACAGGGATCTAAATTCATTCTTTATGTGTGATTGACCAGTTTTCCCAACACTGTTTATTGAAGGGGCTTTTCTTTTTCCTTTTTATGCTCTTCACTACTCTGCTATTTCTGAGGATCTGTCACTGGGCTCTCAAATGTGTTCTATTGGCCTATTGAGAAAAGACATCTGCATTCTGATGCTCATTTTAGTACTATTTGCAATAGCCAATATCTGGATACAACTCAAGTCTACAAGAACAGATGACTGGATCAAGAAACTGTGATATATATGCATATGTGTGTATACATTCATACATACACAACAGAATACTACTTAAATATAAAAAATGATGAAACCCGTTCTGAATGGGAAATGCCTGCTGAGAGTGAGTAAAGGAGCAAAAATGATGACCTCTCAGTATCTGTATTACAAACCATAATGCCCCAAAGGGGTGGGAGGGCAGGGAGGGATATATTATATAATAATATATTATATATTATATATCATACATATATATTATATTATATACCATACATATTATTATATATAATATATAGATAGAGAGAGGATTCCTGCCATAATATTGGAAGGCTTGGGAGGGGATGGCAGGAGGGATACAGGGGATATTGGTGGTGGCAATTACACTGGTGGAGGGATGGATGTTGGAACATTCTATGACTGAAACCCGATCACGAAAGTTTTGTAACTGTATCTTATGGTGATTCAATTAAAAAAATAATAGTAATTTTAAAGTAAAGAAAAAATGATGAAATAATGCAATTTGCCACTACATGTATGGAACTTGAGGTTATCATATTGATTTAAGTTAGTCAGGACAGAGAAAAAAATGATATCTCTTATATGTGGCAAATAAAGACACATAGTAAAAGATTAAAAAATGATGTAAAGTCACAGAGCCTAAAAACAGAACAGAGATGAGGTGCGTGTGGCAGGAGGTTTCAGGGGGGCAAGGCAAGAGGGAGCAAGAGGGAAAATGGTAGAAGAAAGGGACACACTAGTGAGAAGTGTTGTGTTGGATTGTTATAAGCATAAAACCCTACAACTGACTGTAAAGTTTTAAAGCATGGTGGAAATTAAAATTTAATTTAAAAATTTAAAAATAATTAAGTAAAATAAAATAATCATTACTCTGATTGCTTCCTTTGGAAGAACCAGATGGATACACTGTGACTTGTACCTCCTCACTGGTTCTCCTTTCCCCATCCTTCCAATTCTTTTCCCCATATAGCCTCTAATAAATTTCTATTTCTTGAAAGTCAAAGAACCTACATTTCTAAAAGAGTTACCTTCCGAATTTCATATCTACAGTGAGAAGCCATATATTAACTTCTTTCTGCTTTGCGTATTAAAAGATCTCCAATCAGCAAAAAATTGCTGGATCTTTGTAGCAATGCTTAGATGGAGGAATCTTACAAACTAAAAGAACTCTCACCTTTCCGGCTGGTATGTCACTGCTACAGACATGTACTTTTCTACAAGTGTTTATGTCCACCTTCCATGTTCCCAAATCTTTATAGTAATAGAGCACTATATGGAGTACTAGACTAAATATACTTGAGGGGAACTTATGTCTGACTTTCATCTAATAGTCAATCATTACCATAAATTGCAAAAATGACACATATCTTGTGAAAACTTGGGGTCAAGTTACAATAACCTCACACCACAAGAAAAATGCAGTTAAGAGTGAAGCTTACACTTTTTTTCAGCAAAAAATAACCAATTCAGTATGTTCACATTGTATTGGAAAAATTATAGCAAATTGTTTTCATTTCACTTATTACTTTAACATGGTAATATATTATATACAATATTTTGGAGATAAGTGAAATTTAGTGTTGATGACTTCAATGGTTCTTTATTATACGAATGAAACACTGGTGACTTTGTCTATTAGAAGTTCTAAGATATTAATATATTGTTTTAATTATTCTTTATATTGTGGGTGTGGGTCACAAGGCATAATTCTGGTAGGTGAATTGAAAAACTCAGTGGAAGGCCTCAGCAGCAGAGTAACAGCTGCTGAGGACAGACTCAATGAGCTCAAAGATGAAGTTCAGATACTCCCCAGAAAAGAGCAGAAAATGGAAAAGAGACTCACAATCCGGGAATAGATGGCAAGAGAAGATCGTGATGAAGCAAGGAGGAGTAACATAAGAATTATTGGAGTCCAGAGGGACAGGAAGAAAACCCTGATGAGGAAGAAACTGTCAAAGACATCATTGCTATGACGTTTCCAGAGCTGAAGAAAACATAGAATCACATTCAGGAGGCCCGAAGGATACTAGCTAGAAGAAATCCAAATAAAAATACCCCAAGACACATCCTGATCAAAATGACAAAAAACCTTAGATAGACACAAAATTCTGAAAGCAGCAAGATCAAAGAAAAAATTGCCTATATAGGATCATCCTTAAGATTAACAACTGACTTGTCTGATGAAACCCCCATGGCCCAAAAATAATGTTGGGATATAGTGAAAAAAAAAACTCAATGAAATAAATACGTTATTTATTTCACCAAAAGTACTTTACCCGGCTAGACTCCCATTCATAACAGAAGGAACAACACAGTTTCATCGTCAAACAACAGCTCAGGAACTTTACAGACTCAAAACCTTGGTTACAAGAACAACTAAATGGGCTACTTTAAGACAAGACAGGCCCCTCAAATACACCAAATCTTAGCAGAAAAACGGTACAAAACTCTATAACAATAATCTCTCTCAATGTCAATGGGTTAAACAAACCAATTAAAAGACACAGAGTGGCAGGATGGATTAGAAAATTGAACCCAGCATTCTGCTGCCTGCAAGAAACACATCTCAACAGTCAGAGTAAACATGGACTCAAAGTCAAAGGCTAGAAAACAATCCTACAGGTGAACATCTCCCATAAAAAAGCTGGGGTGTCCATCCTAGTATCAGACCACATTGATTCCAGACTGAAGAAGGTCACAAGAGACAGTGAAGTTCATTTCTTCTTGATCAAGGGATCTGTACAACAGGAATAACTTGCAGTACTAAATGTATATGCATCTAATGAGGGACCAGCACAGTACTTAAAAACAATTACTAAGAGACTCAAAGAAAGACATTGATAGCAACACAATACTAGTGGGAGACTTCAACACTGCTTTAAAATCTCTTGATAGGTCAACCAGACTCAAGCTTAGCAAGGACATACTTCATCTGAGGGAAACAATGGAAGAAAGGGACTTAGTAGATATATACAGGACACTTCATCCTCAAAAGCTGAATACACATTCTTCTCAAGTATGCATGGAACATTCTCCAAGATAGATCACATGCTGAGCCACAAAAAATATTTCCATAAAATTAAGAAGAAAGAGATTGTATCAACAATCTTCTCAGACCATGATTCATTGAAATTAGAAGTAATCACACACACACACACACACAGAAAACTAAATAAAACACCTGGAAATTAAACAGTTCAATATTGGACAACAAGTGGCTTAGAAAGGAAATCAAAGAGGAAATCAAAAGATTCCTGGAAATGAATGAAAACGAGGACATGACTTACCAAAACTTATGGGACACAGCAAAAGCTGTGTTAAGAGAAAAGTTTATAGGTCTACAAGCATTTTCCCCCTTTTAAAAAAATTTTTACTAATGATAC